CCACGGGAACATGGAGGTACTTACTACAATCTCCAAAACCTCCCCCCAGAACTGTACCATGAGAAATAGCACAACACACCAGGATCAGATGCACCTGATCATTTTACAGAATATAAAATGAAGTTTGAAAAGAATAAAGCAATAAATATGTGGGTCTGAGAAGCCTCATGTCCAACAAAGTAACAGACTGCACTTGATAAAAAGTCACCAATTTTACCACCTGATAAAGCAATTGTTATTTCTTTCCTTTATATCTGAGCTTTACAACTTTGAAAGACTGTCCTTGCAAAGAAAAAAAGGATCTTGTAGGGTGCTGAACTTCATGTGTTAAATTTTTACTTTGGTGTTCTTCTCATCATCCACCTTGGAGCATCCATGGATCTGTCAATTAAAAACCTCAGAACACATTTCCAAATACATAGGAACAGACCGTAGAGAGCCAACTGGTGTGCAAGGCAAGACAGCAAAGGAGTATCTTGGCATGGGTTTTTTTCCTATGATCTTAAAGATTTAAAAATGATTTTTAAGAATTCCTTGAAAATTTTATTTAAATGTCTTATACTAAGAAACTGTATCTAGGTACAGAAAATTTCTAAAATCCTGAAAGAAATTCAGAATAACTTTCTTTTAAAATAACTTTTTCTTTAAGCTATATTAAACTGTTACTGTTCCTATATTAAACTGTTACTGTTCCTATGTTTTTGTCTCAGCCTGAGAGAGGCCTTTATCAGGTATTTACTTCATTCTCTTTATCTGGAAGGTTCCAGTAAACTCCCACAAGTAGAGGCAGTTTTTCATTCTGTTATGAGAGATTTTACTACAACATTCAGTTAACCACTCCAGATTAGCCAGAACAAAAGGGACATTCTTTTCCTCTATACACAAAATGGCCATTTTAATAGATATTTAATCTGTTTTCCCACTTTAAACTTCACAAATTAATCAATAATTCCTAAGATAAATCAAGATTCTTTTAAAAATAAGTTTAAAGTATTTAAATAATGTCTAAAATTGATAAAAAATATCACCTCATCCATGTACAGGCATCACCTTGTGATAAAATTATAAGCAAATTTGGGGACATAATCAGTCATTTTTCCAATATTGTTATTTGTAATCATTTTTACAATACACTTTGCAAAAATGTGGAACCTTCATGTTTGTGTACAATGTGATGTGAAATTCACTTTTAAATCAGTTTTAAAGCAACCAAGCATACATACTAGCTCTAAAAGGTTCTACCACTCTTAAGAAGAATGTCTTATTTAAAAAATTCAGAATTTTATATACCGTGCATACTATCTGATCACAATGCAGTAAAACTAGAACTCAACAACAAAAGTAAAGACAAAAAACATGCAAACAGCTGGAAACTGAATAACTCATTACTTAATGAACAATTGGGTCATTGATGCAAATAAAAGAGGAAATTAAAAAGTTCCTGAAGTCAATGAAAAATGAAACACAAACCCTACCAGAACCTATGGACACAGCCGAAAGGCAGTCCTGAGAGGAAAGTTATAGCCATGGAGTGCATATATTAAAACGCCTGAAAGATCCAAATAATGACGCTAATTGATCATCTCCAAACTCCTAGAAAAACAAGAACAAGCAAATCCCAAAACAAATAGGAGAGAATAATATAAATCAGACGCTGAATCAACGAATAGAAACAAAAAAAAAAACACAAAGAATTAATGAAATAAAAAGTTTGGTTCTTTTGAAAACTAAAACAAGATCGATAGACCCTGCAAACACGACTAAAATGAGGAGAGAAAAAACCCAAATTTAGTAGAATCAGGAAATGCAAAAAGGGGAGATAACAACAAACACCATGGATGTCCCAGGAAATCATCAGAGACTACTTCGAGAACCTATATTCAAAATAAATTTTGAAAATCTTAAAAGGAGAATGGACAGATTTCTAGATACATATGAAGCCAGTATTACACTTATCCCAAAACCAGGCAAAGACACCTCCAAAAGGAGAACTATAGGCCAATCTCCTTAATGAACATTGATGCAAAAAATCCTCAACAAAATAATGGCAAACGAATTCAGCAACACATCAAAAAGATTATTCACCACGACCAAGTAGGCTTCATCCCAGGGAATGCAGGGGTGGTTCAACATACGAAAAATCAATAAACGTAATAAACCACATTAACAGAAGCAAAGACAAAAACCACTTGATCATCTCAATAGATGCAGAAAAAGCCTTTGATAAGACCACCATTTCATGATAAAAGCTCTAAGAAAACTAGGAATAGAAGGAAGTACCTCAACATTATAAAAGCTATATATGAAAAACCTACAGCCAGCATTATACTTAACGGAGAAAAACTGAAACCATTCCCTCTAAAATCAGGAACCAGACAAGGATGCCCACTATCTCCACTCCTATTCAACATAGTACTGGAATTCCTAGCCAGAGCAATTAGGCAAGAAGAAGGAATAAAAGGAATACAAATAGGTAAAGAAACTGTCAAAATATCCCTATTTGCAGACGACATGATCCTATACCTTAAAGACCCAAAAAACTCTACTCAGAACCTTCTAGACATCATCAATAGCTATAGCAAGGTAGCAGGATATAAAATCAACATAGAAAATCATTAGCATTTCTATACACTAAAATGACAAACTGAAAAAAGAATGTATGAAAACAATTCCATTTACAATAGCCTCAAAAAAATCAAATACCTAGGTGTAAACCTAACAAAAGATGTGAAAGACCTCTACAAGGAAAACTATCACTTCTGAAGAAAGAGATTGAGGAAGACTATAGAAAGTGGAGAGATCCCATGCTCATGGATTGGTAGAATCAACATAGTAAAAATGTCATACTCCCAAAGTAATCTACATGTTTAATGCAATTCCCATCAAAATCCCAATGACATTCATTAAAGAGATTGAAAAATCTACTGTAAATTTATATGGAAACACAAGAGGCCACGAATAGCCAAGGCAATACTCAGTCAAAAGAACAATGCGGAGGTATCACAATACCTGACTTCAAACTATATTACAAAGCAATAACAATAAAAACAGCATGGTACTGGCACAAAAACAGACATGAAGACCAGTGGAACAGAATAGAGGACCCAGATATGAAGCCACACAACTATAACCAACTTGATCTTTGACAAAGGAGCTAAAAATATACATGATGGAGAAAAGCAGCCTCTTCAACAAAAACTGCTGGGAAAACTGGTTAGCAGTCTGCAAAAAACTGAAACTAGATCCATGTATATCACCCTATACCAATATTAACTCAAAATGGATCAAGGATCTTAATATCAGACCCCAAACTCTAAAGTTGATACAGGAAAGGCAGCCTCTTCCAACAAAAACTGCTGGGAAAAAATGGTTACAGTCTGCAAAAAACTGAAAACTAGATCCATGTATACACCCTATAAACCAATTTAATCAAAATGCGCTCAAGGATCTTATATCAGACCACAAACTCTAAAGTTGATTCAGGAAAGCAAGTAGGAAATACTCTGGAGTTATAGTATAGGTAGAATTATTTCCTCAACGAAACGCCAGCGCCCAGCAACTAGGAGAAGCATAGATATGGACCATACAAGCAAATAAGCTTCTGTTCATGCATATGGTCTCTAAAATTGCAGAGAAACACCACAAATGGGCGAAAATATTTGCCACGCTACACATCAGACAAAGGCTATACCACAATATTAGGGAACTTAAGAAACTAAATTCTCCCAAAGTTTTCTAATGAGCCAATAAGGAAATAGGCAAGTAAACTAAACTAGACACTTTCTCAAAAGAAAAATCTCAAATGGCCAAAAACACATGAAAAAATGCTCAACCAATCTCTAGCATAAAGGAAATGCAAATTAAAACCACACTAAGATTCCACCTCAATGTTAGATAGCCTCATCAGCAACACCACCACACAGGTTGTTGGCGAGATGCGGGAAAGGAACCCTCTTACACTGCTGGTGGGGAATGTAATAGTACAACCCTCTGGAAAAAATTTGGAGGCTACTTAAAAAGCTAAACATTGATCTACATATGATCCAGCAATCCCACTCTTGGGGAATATACCCAAAAGACTGTGCACACAGGTTACTCCGAGGCACCTGCACATCCTGTTTATTGGCAGCACTATTTCACAATAGCCAAGTTATGGAAACAGCCAAGATGCCCCACCACTGACGAATGGATTAAGAAAATGTGGTATCTATACACAATGGAATTTTATGCAGCCATGAAGAAGAACGAAAATGTTATCATTCGCTGGTAAATGGATGGAATTGGAGACATCATTCTGAGTGAGGTTAGCCTGGCCCAAAAGAAAAAATCGTATGTTCTCCCTCATATGTGGACATTAGATCAAGGGCAAACACAACAAGGGGATTGAACTTTGATCAACATGATAAAAGCGAGAGCACACAAGGGAGGGTGAGGATAGGTAAGACACCTAAAAAATTAGCTACATTTGTTGCCTCAACGCAGAGAAACTAAAGCAGATACCTTAAAGCAACTGAGGCCAATAGGAGAAGGGGACAGGAACTAGAGAAAAGGTTAGATCAAAAAGAATTAACCTAGAAGGTAACACACCCACCACAGGAAATAATGTGAGTCAACTCCCTGTATAGCTATCCTTATCTCAACCAGCAAAAACCCTTGTTCCTTCCTATTGTTGCTTATACTCTCTCTTCAACAAAATTAGAGATAAGGGCAAAATAGTTTCTGCTGGGTATTGAGGGGGTAGGGGGCAGAGTGAGGGGGCTGGGTGAGTGGTAAGGGGGGGGTGGGGGCAGGGGGGAGATATGACCCAAGCATTGTATGCACATATGAATAATAAAAAAATTCAGAATTTTAAAATAATTCTCATTATTAAATAGAGAATTCTGGTGCTTGTAAATCAATAACCACTATACCTCAAAAAAAAGTATGTGCTCTGCCAAAGTTTTTACCTAACACACAGTGCCAAGAACATATCAGATACGTACACAAAGGTTTGCACTCACCTGGTACTGGGTCGTTTTTGCAGGGCTTTATCCAAGACAAGAGATGGAGCACTCCTTCTCCTTTCTGCTAATGTTTTCATTTTCTGTTGAGGAAAAAAAAAAACAAAATGAAGACCAGATGCTTTGTAAGGGAAGGAAATGTTGACCTGCAGCCCAATTCAACAAATGTGTATTGCCTATCAAGAAGCCCACGATTCTATTATAGATATAAAGCCATAGCATCTAAAATAGGACAGTAAGTGTCAAAACACAGTATAGGCAGTGGTTTTTACAGTCAGAGAATAAAGAGCTGTTAAAGGTTGGCTAGGATACCTGGGAAAAACACTAACATAAACATTAATATTGCTCTTTATTGTCAGGTTTTATGCTAAAGACTAGGCATGGATTATCTCACTTATACCCCACAAAGTCATCAGGGTATATAGTACTATTTCTATTTCATAGACAGCAAATGTCCTAAACAGGGTTTCAAAGGAAGAAAGGACCTGGAGAGGCCACGTAAAGGGGGAGGAAAACCAGTTAAAGGTAAGCACAGCAACTAGAATCTCACATAAACATGCAGTCAACCTTTACATTTTATTTTAAATTTAAGCATTTATACATTCAGGAAAATCTTTTTCTTCTTTGAGGTGATCTATAAATAAATATAAGACAACCTGGCTACTTCACGTACCCTCTTTTGATGACCTCAAGTTTGTGCTAAATGAGAATGCAACTTGAATTATCCAGGTAATTGCTCTCTAGATTCAAGCGTACAATATTTTACAGCTCTATATATAGCCAAAGGGCCTGGCTCCAGAGACAGATAAGTAAAATTAACAACATAGGCCATGCTATCAAAGCCATTCTTCCTGCTATATGCTCTCACCCCATCCCGGCCAGAGGTCTCACTCACCGCCTAAGGGCTTAGGCCAGCCATGCTTGTGAACTGCATTTTGTTCTAATAAGAACCATATAAAACTAACTAGCTGGCTCAGTGTTGTATCCCATTACATGAGTGATAAAAGAACCACTTCTTATCTAGTAAATAAAACCTACATAGGAGTTGAGGAAGAATCATCCAGCGTGACAGACAGGCTGAACTTCCCACAAATTCACCATGCTCCCAGCAATCTCTCCCAAATCATTGCTGTCACTACTACTCTGGCCTCCGTATTAGTGTTCTGCTCATTAGTTTTTGGCTCACGTGTGGATACGATATGCTCAAATCTCCTTAGCACCAACTGAAGCAATTATATAAAACATTAATAAAGGAGAGGAAACAAATGGGTTAAGAAATAGAGAATGTCAAACACCTCACTCAGGCGTTCTTAATCATGAATCAGTTTCAGGCCCCAAGATACATGTATAAAAATTTTCTGTGTGATGTGTGCCTTCCTTGTAGAGAAATGGTCTACAGTTGTCATCAGATTCTCAGAAGAGTCTAAACCTTCCCAACACTAGTGACTTCTGTAATCTAGCTTGTATGTTGTGGCATGTGAGCTCAACATACCTACAAACATAAGTCTCAAAAGCTAACATCCTGAGAGGCTGCTGTGGCTACAAAGGTTGCAAGAAGAAAGAGACTCTGGACAAGTATTTGTTTTGCAAGGTACCAGCATCTCCACATGTGAAGAGATTCAATACTGGAAGACTGATTTTACAAAGAAAGGGAGCCAGTTTTATTCATATACACAAGCTGTGTTTATATACACAAGATTTTTTTTTGCAAAAATGTTTCACCTTCAGGTCTAGGCTTGTTTTCTATTTCTTTATCCTGATTCCCTTTTATCAGGACCCAGTTAAATTTGAAATTTTCTATGTATCAAAATCTGTTGGCTTTACCCTTACTTTCTGTGTGTTTTGAGGGTTTGTCTAAGCTATCTTGTAGGGTCATTCCTGGACCTATCTCAGCAGCCTTGTGCCCACTTCCCCTAACCGCTGTCATTACTGTCAGCAGATCTAAGATCCTAAATTAGTTTTACATTAGACATGGTTTTGATTCTGAGCTCCTTGGCATTGGGGTTTATGAAGAATTCATGAAAGGTTCAAAAGGCAGCCATAAAATGACTTAAAATGTGGAGAAAAGAAAGAGCTTATGAAAAAAAGTTAAAACGATCTGAGATTCTTCATTTGGAAACAGTAATAATTTCTAAATGAATTGCAGTACTATCACATGTAGGAAAATAAGTATCTACCAAGGAAGACGAAGCAAAAAAGAGATGGCACAAAATAAGAATAAGTGTCCAGGATGACTTTGGGTAGTGGATCTTTGAGATTTTACAAAAGCTTTGAACTCAATTTTGTACACAATTTCAGAGGGTTCTGAAACCCCCATAAAATGGATTTCTTAGAGATCCATGGATTAAGAAACCTTCTGATTTAAGGAACTATTTCTCAATGGTATCAGTTAATTGTGAAAATGGTGACAAGTATTCCTCTGTAAAAGTACTTTTAAAATACAACCTTTTCATGGAAAACAGTGTCTAAACTGTTTTCTCAGTGATGACACTGACAGGTGCATAAAGGGTCAAATACTGACTGTATCCATCTCATCCAGCTGGACTTGTATGGAAGATAATGCAATCAAACTACAGGCAGAATACTATGACTATCTGAGGTCCTATTATTTGTACTCAGACTTCCTCTACCACTAATGAGAGATGCAACCCAAGACAATTCAGTGACTTCTTTGGGTGACTATTTCCTTACTTATAAAATGAGAAAATTGGACTACTCTTAGGTCCTTTCTAGTTCTGATATTCACCCTGGATGTATAAGGAAATAAGTATTACATGAACCATGTGTTTAGGATCCACAGGATTAATTTTGTTTATAGGTAATGAAAAGTCTTAGGAGCCACTGATATAACTGGAACTTAATATACAGATTTAGATAGTAATTCATTCAAAATACACAGATCTCTCTTGCTCATGTAGGGCCAATGGGAGCCTTAAAACAAATTCACTAAGGCAATAAGGACTTGGATTTCTGCTTGTTTATAACAACTATATGAAATACAATACATCAAAAGAGAACGAGACTATTGATTCCTTTACAAATATATACCAGCGCAAACTTGTCAGGACAGGTCAAGGTTATGCTCATATTTGCACCAACGAATTTCAGTTGTTCTGTGACTCGGTTAATTATGATTCTTTGCCTCACAGGAAACAGAAGGCAAAGTTTAGTGTATATTTTCTTTGTTAGCTTAAAAGCCACTTACCCACTGGGATTCTGTTTTTCAGAATTCCTAAGTGAAAGATGTTTACATCTAGACGGCATCATTATAATGGATGCTATTCAGGAAGGCAATTTTTTAAAGATAATATTTAAAAAATCGATAAGCTCTATATTAGGCACAAAAAAGAAAGAATCACTACATTAATCCTTTGGATATGATCTTCCAGATGGCATTTACCTAGTGTTAATCAGTCTCCCAAATTAAACATGCACAAACACCTGTAATCCCAGCACTTGGGAGGCTGAGGTAGATCATGAGTTTGAGGCCCACCCAGGTTACACGGTGAGACCCAGTCTCAAAAATCCTAATTCATTAATTAAGAATTTTATGTGCACTAAAACAAAAAACACGAAATAATATCTATCTACTCCTCTGCCCCAAATAGGAAAAGGGGGGGAAGAACTTGGAAGAAGTTGTAAAAGAGAATAACAAGTGATTAAATTTTACCAACTGTTGCTTTTTCACCAACAGCCATTTATTAGGGAAGTATAAACATCCACATCAGAGACACAGTAGAGCTTTGATTTTCTATGCTATCTTCTCTGATGCTAAATTCAGTTTTGTAGGTAAAAAAATCCTATTCTGCCCAAGAGCAAAGGAACAGAGGTCACAACTACAGATAAGAACCAAAAGCCTGTAGTTCATATTTTTGTTTATACAATAATAATACAAAAGTGCAACATTATCAGCTAATCTGAAAGGTGTTTTCCATCTCAAGTCATTTTTAAGCAATTGGACTTGTATAATATATTCAACTCCTTGTGTCCCTATCTCTTCCTATACTATGCCTCAGCTGTAGACTGTTTTGTTATATTATTAATCTTTCTGCCCCTTTCTAGAAAGCAGGGACTCCATCTCCTTTCCAAATTGTCTCTCTTTCTTTAACAATCATTTTTTAAAACTGTACTTTGCATTCAGAAATATAATGCCTGGCACAAACTACATATACAATAAATAGGGGTTTTATGTGAATTTTAAAAACCACCCATTTACCACATCAATACCACCAAACACACACATAGAAAAACAAAATCTTTAAAGGGCTCTGCTGGATGGTGTCATTAAGTGAAATGTAGGCATTTGCTAAGGAACTAGACAGTCGGTGACATACCTGCACACTGCAATCTATCTTTAAAGACGCTGTTGCATTCATCACTTTGTGCTACATGGTAAACATCTGTCTGATGATACAGTAGAAGTGAATTACTTGTCAACAGATGGTTCTTGGATAACTGGATAACTGTGTGCAGAGAAATAACTCCTAACTCATACCACATACAAAAATCTACTCAAAATTAAGACCTAAAATCAAGAATTTAAAACTATAAAAATATGAACAAAAACACAGGCCACCTTGGTCACCTTGGGTGAGGCAATCAATGATTTTCTAAATGTGACACCTAAAAACACACGCAACAAAAGGAAAAAAAAAAACAGACAAAAGGGACAATGTCAAGATTGAAAACTTCCATGCTTCAAAGAACACAGTTAAGAAAGTGAAAAGACAACCCACAGAATGGAGAAAAATTTTGCAAACCATATACCTGATCAATGACTTGTATTTACAAAGAAATATTACCACTCACTAGTAAAGGAAATTTAAAAAACGGGCAAAGGCTCTAAAGAGGCAGCTCTCCAAAACAGATATAAAAACAGCACATGAGAAACTGTTTCTCTCAACGGCCATCAGGGAAATGTAAATAAAAACCACAATGAGACATCGCTTCATACACATTAGGATGATAAAAATAAGATAATTTCCTAGTGAGGAAGTGGGAAAAATTGGACTCATATACTGCTGGTGGGAGAATGAATTGATGCACCTACTTAGGGGAACAGTTTGGTGGTTCCTTAAATGAT